TATGTGAGGTGGGTGTTGAAAAATCCAAGATGGCTGTTACTGACGGTATACGGTCTCATATTAGGTCAGTAACGGCCATCTTGTATCTTTACTGACGGTATACGGGCTAATGTGGGGTCAGTAGTTCTGCTCTCTGATTGGTCAATCTCACTCTGAGGCATAATAACAAGACATATGTATATCCTACTGATACACACATTCGACATTCATCAGTATGACGTACACAGTTATGTAATACTCTCTAGCTCTGTACATTGGTCGATATATGTTAGAAAAGGCTAGTAAAGGTCCCCAATAAATTACGTTGTCACAAGACGTAATTAAATGAATAGGACTCTGTGGATGCCCTTCCGAATTGACCAACACAACACCTTACTACTACTACTACTACTACTACTACTACTACTACTACTACTTCTACTACTACTACTACTACCACCACCACACATGGGGCGGTCGGGTAGCCTAGTGGTTAAAGCGTTCGCTCGTCACGCCGAAGACCCGGGTTCGATTCCCGTCATGGGTACAATGTGTGAAGCCCATTTCTGGTCTCCCCCCGCCGTGATATTGCTGGAATATTGCTAAAAGCGGCGTAAAATCAAACTCACTCACTCACATCACCACCACCACCACCACTACTAGGTTCTACTACACCAAATCAGAACCAGTTTGGACAGTGCGGTTTTCGTAGGCAGCCTTCAGTGCAGATCGAGAGATATCTGCAGGCTGTGATTGGAGGATATTCTGTAAGATTTTTATGTCTTTCAAATGTACATCCATCCAGTTATTAAACTGACCATGTTTTTCTATATTTAGTACTGTCTTTTTCAACATGATGACTTATGCTGAATGTGACCACAGCTATTTTCAAGTAGGTGACATTTGGTGCGAAACTGGGGGTGGTGTGTTTAGCTTCCGGTACTCGGAAAAGGAGCTGGCTAAGCTAGTCATTTTTATTTTTTTTATTGCTGCTCTAAGGCCAAACTGTGCACACACGTACAGGTAATAACTGTTGAATGCTTAGTTATTTAAAATTTTGTTATAACGTTGCAATAGAAGTCTATGGGAAAACATTTGGTTGTGTGTAACCTACTACCACCACCACCACTACTACCACCACCACCACCACTACTACTACTACTACAGAAATGAGTGTCAACCAAGGGAAGTGCTATATCAAATCGGCCCAGACTCAGTTTTTCAAGGAGAGGCTTTCTGAACGACCACTGTATCGAGTATATGTGCAGTGTGCTGTGAGGGTCAGCAACCCTACAGAGTCCTTCGCTTAGATGAAGTCGGCTGGCCTGAAAAGTGAAACACAAGGCTTTCTGTTTGCTGCTCAGGACCAGTCACTTCCCACTCGAAACCGCGAAGGTGTGAATTTGCATCAAAATGTAAATATGAAATGTAGATTTAATGTAATGGATTTAATGAGACTGTCCAACACATTGTCAGTGGATGTCCAGCTTTGGCAAAAACACAGTATCTTAACGACATGATGGAGTGGCTCGATCATTTTATTACCGTCTTCACTATGGTTGTGGTTTTGACACAGCAGCCCATCCACGGTATGATCCTGAACATGTAGAGGGCGTCATGAAAAATGATAAATACAAAGTTCTTTGGAATAGGCCCCCATACAGCCTCAGAAGTATTCAGCCCAGCAAACCTGATCCTGTCCTTTTTTTTATAAATCTAATGAAATCCTTTATATCATTGAATTCTCTGTCCCTTTTGACACTAATGTGATTGACAAGATTAAGAAAACACATTGCAAACATGCGGACCTTGCTTTCGAAATGTCACGCTTGCATCCCAAGTACTAAGACTCCCTATTTTTCTCGATGCCCTAGGTTTGGTACATCCAATCTGTTGCCTGATCATGATATTGGGAGAGTACCCGGGTTTGCTGCCAGGAATACCACCCTTCTGACTATCTGGCTAATGCAGAAGGCTGTAGTTTTGTGCTACTACTACTACTACTACTACTACTACTACTACTACTACTACTACTACTACTACTACTACTACTACTACTAGTACTACTACTACTACTACTACTACTAGAGACCCGTGAAGATCCGGGGTAGATTAGGTCTCTAGCAACTCATGCTTGTCGTAAAAGGCGACTAACGGGATCGGGTGGTCAGGCTCGCAGACTTGGTTGATGCATGTCATCGTGTCCCAATTGCGTGGATCGATGCTCATGATATCAATCACTGGATTGTCTGGTCCAGACTTGATTATTTACAGATCGCCGTCATATAGCTGGAATAATGCTGAGTGCGGCGTCAAACAACAAACAGACCACCCATTTATAGTGCGCATATTTCCACGAGGCGCTATTAGTACTCCAGATAACTGGATCAGGGTGTACTCAACAATCATTCCAAGCTTCATGGAGAGTATACAACACAGGTTGCCCGTTAGGCGCTTGAAGGTTAACAAAGACTTTGACATCTCATCGTACCGGGTACCCATTCGCTGCTGGGTGAGCAGAGTCACATTTCGCACAAGGAAACACAACATATGTGTTACATGGTCTTCAGTGTGGGGCAGGACCAAAGCGCCAGGAACTCTCAGGAGCCAAACTGCCGAAACGCGGTCACCCTTCCAAGGAATCTCTGGGACAGACGTTGTTCATCTTCACCTGATTTGTGACCTGTGCGTTGTGCACATGACCACTGACAGCGATCAGGTTACAGGATGATGTGCAACATTTCAACTCTCCGGCCTGTGCTTGTGGTGCTGCCGGAATGGTGATGCTGCTGTGATAGAATAATAGTGAGTGAGTGAGTTGGATTTAATGCCGCCTTTAACAGTATTCCAGTTATATCACGGCGTGTCAGCTTAATGTGGGAGGAAAGCCCAAAGTGATGCAGGTCTCAGACGTTTACCAGTTCGGTGAAACCCACGAGCACGGGTATGGTGCTGACAAACCTAGAAACATAATCGGGGCGAACCGGGATTCGAACCCACAATCCTAGGTTTCTGGCGTGCCCAAGGCACGCAACTCATCACAGCGTATTGCGGCGCCTTAGACGACTGGTCCACCCGTGCACCCGAAAGTTGATTGGAGAAACAGAAAGAGGATGGTCAATGTTAAATAGCTTGCTGTTTATATGTTATTAAACAAGTAATTGAAAGTATTCTACATACATATCATCAACGTTGACTCTGAAGTCATTTTTGTTTCCTTAGTTGTATACTCAGATATTTGTAACGAGGAAAAAGAAATGACTGTAAAATATATTCATGCTTATTATAACTGACCTCAGATTTAACTTTCTGTTTCATTTCAAATCAATGACTGGACATGGAGACAGGTATGTAACATGCTGCCTTACTTGTATGAAGTAATCCCTTATGAAGTAAACACTGATCAATTATATATTCGACGTATGTGTGTTCACTTGTGACACATGGATCAATACTTTGGTTTGAGCAACGCTGTGTTTCAGATAAGACAATGGCTGTATCAGTTAGAGAGATGTTCCTGATCCATACCCGATCGCACAATTTAACAACTGTATGTTGCTCTATGGCGGCGGTCTGTAATTCATGGAGTCTGGTCAAGGCAATTCACTGACTGACGCCATAAGCATGGATCTTCGCAATTGGAGGGGTGGGAGGGGGGTGGGGGGTGGCCACGATTTATATCATGCCCATGTGTATTCCGGTAATTGAGACGTTAAATTGTGCTTAACACTGACCATGAATAAGTAAGGAAGTAAGCGAGTGAGCGAGTATGGTTTCACATCGCTGGGTTCAATATTCGATCAGTACAACAAATAATGAATTCAGTTGTTTTACACCATCAGAGAACACACTCTATCCTTATTGTCTCACCTGGGGGCACGGGTGGCCCAGTCGTCTAAGGCGCCGCGATACGCTGTGCAGAGTTGCGTCCCTTGGGCACGCCAGAAACCTGTGATTGTGGGTTCGAATCACTTCGGGCTTTCCTCCCACATTAAGCGGAAACGCCGTGATATAACTGGAATAATGTTAAAAGCGGCGTTAAATCCAACTCACTCACTCACTCTTCGCAATTGGGATACGAGGACATACAATAACCAAGGCAGCGAAAGTGACCATCCGATCCCATTAGTCGCTTCTACAACAAACATGTGTTATATCCTTTAAGGACTATTATCGCTGAGTGAAAACACTATTTTTGCAGCTTTCGAATCCACAGCAAAGGAACTGCGTCAGCTACGGATTGCTCAAGGAACATTCATGACATCCATGGCGCTGTACACATTCATTCATATGTGTCAGACAATGGACTCCGCCCCCTTGTGTGTTGTGTGCGTGCTGGTGATGATGCTTCTGATACCAGTGTCACATGGTATGTTTCCACAAATTGAAAATACTCATTCAGTCGCGTATGTATCACCTACAGCCGCGTCTTCAGCAACCCATGCTTGCTGTAAAAGGCGACTGTGCTTGTCGTAAGAGGCGACTAACGGGATCGGGTGGTCAGGCTCGCTGACTTGGTTGATTCATGTCATCGATCCCAATTGCGTGGATCGATGCTCATGATATTAATCACTGGATTGTCTGGTCCAGACTCGATTATTTACGGACCGCCGTCATATGGCTGGAATATTGCTGAGTGCGGCGTTAAAAAAACAAACCAAACCAAACCAAACCTACAGCGGATATAAATTGTTTCTTATTATATGACACATACAAATCAGCTACATGCATCCATAAACTGATTTATACGTCAGGTGAGTTAAATTGTAACGTCACATCGGCGACATTTCTGCTATATCATGACGTGAAGACTGAATACAAACTTGTACGACGGACAGTGCTATAACTAGATTATCACAGATTCAATTTAAAACTAGTTGAGAACATGTAAAAGAAAAAAAATATATTAGTCAATAACACAGTATTAAAAATAGGTTATAGATGACAAACAACTGAAGGTAGATTCAATATAGATATGTAAACTTAGGGGTATATACATTAACTATATATTAAAGGTACGTCGGAACTCGTCTGTCCGTATGTCGGATATCTTGGTTCTCCTGCTCATCTGACGTGCATCCCGCCAAGTAATATAACTTCACATGGCTATACAACATCGCAAAGAGACGTTGCCGCCATCTGCAGTGTATCAAACTCATCATGTACACCAATGAGCAACTACATGGCGTCTACCATCAACCAGACACACAGTAGCCTCACCATACCTACAGTACAGCAAACACATGCAGGGCAGTGGACGTGTACTATCCTACCTTGGTCTCCACTATCCTGCTACATTACTGTAGTGAGTAAGTACAAGATAAGACACATGAATGTGAAGTCAACACCCGTAACAAAACATCATATATTATCACTCAAGCTGCTTGTGTCCTATTCAACCATGGGGAACTTCATCCCCTAACTTGTAGCTGGTAAATGTTGAAATATCAAAAGTTATGTTATTCACAGGATCATATGGAACGAACAATCAAGACGTAATATTGTATTATTCTATCGGGGGGCCCGGGGGGCCAAGTCGTCTAAAGCACCGCGATTTGCTGTGCAGAGGTGCGTCCCTTTGGCACGCCAGAAACCTAGGATTGTGGGTTCGAATCCCGGTTCGCCCCAATTATGTTTCTAGGTTTGTCAGCACAGTTTACTCGTGCTCGTGGGTTTCACCGAAGTGGTAAACGTCTGAGACCTGCATCACTTAGGGCCGTGATATAACTGTTAAAAGCGACGTTAAACTCAACTTACTCAAACATTCACTATTAGTCTATCACAGTAGCTTCACCATTCCAGCAGTACCACAAGCACAGGCCGGACAGTTGAAATGTTTCACACCAATCGCTGTCAGTAACATGATACGTCACACGAAACATAATGGCCATGGATCGAGACTTGTTTTGTGTCACAGTCAATTAAAGTATGTACTTATAGCTTATATATAAAGTATGCCTTGAGGGCGGTAGGGTAGCTCGTCAGGCTGAAGGCCCGGGTTCGAATACCGACTTTGTTACAATGTGTAAAGCCCATTTCTGGTGTCCCCCGCCGTGATATTGCTGGAATATTGCAAAAAGCGGCGTGAAATCAAACTCACACACTCACTCAATATGAATACCTTATTCCAGAAGAGCCGTCATGCCTCCTGACGTGTGCTACAAATTCGTCTCCTTCCTATGATGGGGGAGATCGTGCTGTCCGTATCATCGGATACTACTGTTCTGAACCGGTTCATATGAAGCTGGTGTCTGAAGGATCTGACATTAAAGTTACCACAGAGACAGTCACTGAAGACACGAAAAATGAAACAGTTCATATCCCTGCCAGTAATACAACTTTCAACTTGGTCTTCACTTGTGGCACATACAATAAAGCTCTTCCATGTCAAGCAGCTGAGAGTGAGTGATAACACTATCCTTTTCACCTATTCTAAATGTTGACATGATACTCATGAATGATTAAGAATTGTTTTATTTTTAACATGTTGAACTTAGTAGTAATTGCTCGTACCTGCATCGCTTCTGACTTTCCTACCGCATAAAGTTCACATATTACTCTAAAACAAATAAACCAGATTACATCAAGAGATTATTTCATTCAACAACAGTTATGCTGAAGACATTCGTCAGTTTAATCCAATTACGTCCCCAATGAAAGTATGCTTATGTTTTGCAACTGCTCATGGAAATATCACTTTCACTTGCATTTTACAAATGTATTTCCTCGTTGAGTAGTGACGTTCTTTTGGCCCACTGCCGCATTGTTGTGTTTTTTTCGAAGTGTAAGGATCCGCTTAACTTGGGTTTTCAGCACCAGAACGACCCTCGAATTCTTTCTCTCAAAAGCTCATAAACCGTGAAGGGGCGGTCGGGTAGCCTAGTGGTTAAAGCGTTGGCTCGTCACGCCGAAGACCCGGGTTCGATTCCCGACATGGGTACAATGTGTGAAGCCCATTTCTGGTGTCCCCCGCCGTGATATTGCTGGAATATTGCTAAAAGCGGCGTACAACCATACTCACTCACTCACTCACTCACTCATAAACCGTGATATTAGGAAGGGTGTTGATAAACAAAGCTTATGTCATCAGTGTATTTCCGTGTCCATTGTAGGGAGCCGTCGCACTGATGACACGAGTGACGAACTGCATGAGCAAGGCGGTATCCTTAATCAACGTACATTTCTAGTTGCGGGGATCCTTGTGTCAGGATTTGTCCTCACGCTCATTGCCATAACGCCCGTGCTGGTGAAAAGGAGAAACTCACAAGCAGTTCCTCAAATGCAGTGTGACGACCCACCTGATGCATCTGTCCACTCGCCCAATGCATCTGACAAGCCGCCTGATGCATCTATGTAGGGAGCAGAGGATTGTGGCCTTGGTGTCTCAGATGCTTCACCTACTGCGACAGACACAGAACAACACGCACCTGCTGAGAACATGGAATTGAGCACGTTTGGAGTATATCAGGACATACCTCTATCAGATAGTGACTTTGATGATAGTAATATGAGAAGTGATTTGGATGAGCAATGGGAGCTCTGTGATAAGTAATGACCCAAATAAATCAAATCAACCAAGGCTTTAGCTGCGAATCTTTTTTTTTGTTGACAGAACTGACAGGACACACGACTTCACCCCTTCATCCCCGTATGCTGAAAAATGCCACATGTTTACACAAATTAGAAATGATGCATCATAACACAGTTACAAAGTGTATACTTTTAATTACATAAAGTGTTTGTCATACATACGAACTTGTTCTTGTCTTCACTACACATCTCTCGGTAAAGTTCACTGGGTACTCTCACTATTACAAAATCACCAATTATTCTTTCCTTGATGATTATTCATCTTATAAATCATTACTCGGACCAGAAAAAAATATTTGTTCAATCGATATTGGAAGCCGACCTTTTGAATCTAAATGTCTGGATAATACATCACTTGCATGTGTTTTATGACGGGGGCCAAGGGACGATTAGGACAGGGTGTGCATAAATCGCGATTATTTGATATGTTCACTATTTGAATGTGATTTGTACAATGATTAAGACGGAATCGTACAATGGACTCTGCTTTTAGTGGATTTATTATGGTTGTAGAAAGGTTATAAAATATGTTTTATTTCCTGTTAAGTGATACTACATTTCCAAAATGAATCATGTCACAGGCATAAATATATTCATGACCTCAATATCACGTCAAAACACGAAACTGACAATGAGGGAAGGGCTTATGAAACAACATTCGGTGAACAAACATTGAACTACTTTTTGTGTGAATGTTAAGTGATTGTTTGAAATGTGACAGGAAGCAGATCTCTCACGTGTCGAAGTTTCTGTTTTATTTGTTCTTCCTTGTCAGGCAGCTCGGGATTTATAAAATATAATGTGATGCAGACGACGAAAGGCAGTACAGTGCCGCCTCGTTGTTTCGATGTTCACCTCCGACTCTACATTTTTACCGTCAGACAACAGAAAGCAAGCGTCCCACATAGAGTATTTATAATATGCGAAGTACACAGTTTCAAACAACTTCATTTAAGGGCTTAGCTCATGTGAGAGCCGTGATACCAAGCCAACAACCAGACACACAGCAATCTCACCATACCTGCAGTACAACATCTACCATCAACCAGACACACAGCAATCTCACCATACCTGCAGTACAACATCTACCATCAACCAGACACACAGCAATCTCACCATACCTGCAGTACAACATCTACCATCAACCAGACACACAGCAATCTCACCATACCTGCAGTACAACATCTACCATTAACCAGACACACAGCAATCTCACCATACCTGCAGTACAACATCTACCATCAACCAGACACACAGCAATCTCACCATACCTGCAGTACAGCATCTACCATCAACCAGACACACAGCAATCTCACCATACCTGCAGTACAGCATCTACCATTAACCAGACACACAGTGGCCTCACCATACCTGTAGTACAACACCTGCCATCCATCAGACACACAGCAGTCCTACCATACCTGCAGAACAACATCTACCATCATCCAGACACACAGAAGTCTCACCATGCCTCCAGTACAACATCTACCATCCACCAGACACACAGAAGTCTCACCATACCTCCAGTACAACATCTACCATCCACCAGACACACATCAGTCTCACCATACCTCCAGTAAAACATCTACCATCCACCAGACGCACAGACGTCTCACCATACCTGAAGTACAACACCTGCCACCCACCAGACACACAGCAGTCTCACCATACCTGCAGTACAACATCTACCATCCACCAGACACAAAGTACAGTAGCCTCACCATACCTGTAGTACAACGCGTGCCATCCACCAGACGCACAGACGTCTCACCATACCTCCAGTACAACATCTACCATCCACCAGACGCACAGACGTCTCACCATACCTGAAGTACAACACCTGCCACCCACCAGACACACAGACGTCTCACTATACCTCCAGTACACTATCTACCATCCATCAGACACACAGACGTCTCACCATACCTGCAGTACAACATGTACCATCCACCAGAAACACATTACAGTAGCCTCTTCATACCTGCAGAACAACATCTACCATCATCCAGACACACAGCAGTCTCACCATACCTGCAGTACAACACCTGCCATCCACCAGACACACAGCAGTCTCACCATACCTGCAGTACAACATCTACCATACACCGAACACACAGCAGTCTCACCGTACCTCCAGTAAAACATCTACCATCATCCAGACACACAGAAGTCTCACCATACCTGAAGTACAACACCTGCCATCCACCAGACACACAGCAGTCTCACCATACCTGCAGTACAACATCTACCATCCACCAGACACAAAGTACAGTAGCCTCACCATACCTGTAGTACAACGCGTGCCATCCACCAGACGCACAGACGTCTCACCATACCTCCAGTACAACATCTACCATCCACCAGACGCACAGACGTCTCACCATACCTGAAGTACAACACCTGCCACCCACCAGACACACAGCAGTCTCACCATACCTCCAGTACACCATCTACCATCCATCAGACACACAGACGTCTCAACATATCTGCGGTACAACATGTACCATCCACCAGAAACACATTACAGTAGCCTCTTCATACCTGCAGAACAACATCTACCATCATCCAGACACACAGCAGTCTCACCATACCTGCAGTACAACACCTGTCATCCATCAGACAGACAGCAGTCTCACCATACCTGCAGTACAACATCTGCCATCCATCAGACACACATCAGTCTCACCATACCTCCAGTACAACATCTACCATACACCGAACACACAGCAGTCTCACCATACCTCCAGTAAAACATCTACCATCATCCAGACACACAGAAGTCTCACCATACCTCCAGTACAACACCTGCCATCCACCAGACACACAACAGTCTCACCATACCTGCAGTACAACACCTGCCATCCACCAGACACACATCAGTCTCACCATACCTGCAGTACAACATCTACCATACACCGAACACACAGCAGTCTCACCATACCTCCAGTAAAACATCTACCATCATCCAGACACACAGAAGTCTCACCATACCTCCAGTACAACACCTGCCATCCACCAGACACACAGCAGTCTCACCATACCTGCGGTACAACACCTGTCATCCGCCAGACACACAGCAGTGTCACCATTTTTGCAGTACAACAACTGCCACCCACCATACAACAACATCTACCATCAACCAGACACACAGTAGCCTCGCCATACCTGCAGTACAACATCTACCATCAACCAGACACACAGTAGCCTCGCCATACTTGCAGTACAACATCTACCATCAACCAGACACAAAGTAGCCTCGCCATACCTGCAGTACAATATCTACCACCAATGAGACACACAGTAGCCTCGCCATACCTGCAGTACAACATCTACCATCAACCAGACACACAGTAGCCTCAACATACCTGCAGTACAACATATACCACCAATGAAACACACAACAGTATCACCGTACCTGCAGTACAACATCCACAATCATCCAGACCTCACCGTACCTGAAGTACATCATATACACAAAGGTCACTCAAGGTCATAGATGAAATTATTTTAGTATCTCCAGAACCATTGAAAGTGTTCTGACATATTTGTTTCTTGGATTCAAAATGTGTCTTATGACATGAATATCCTACCAGAGCCGTCACGTCTCTCTGTGTATGCGTATACTCCATGTGATGGTGATGATCTAATTGTCCACGTCATTGGATATTACTTTTTTGAACTGCGTGTCTTGAAGTTAGTGACTGAAGAATCTGGCATTGACACACTCACTGATGCGAGAAATAACTCGTGACTATTTGGCAGCGTGGCTGTTTGTACTAGTTTGGACTGATACCGATTTATAGTAAGTGAGTATGGTTTTACGCCGCTTTTAGCAATATTCCAACTATATCACGGCGGGGAACACCAGAAATTGGGTTCACACATTGTACCCATGTCGGGATTCGAACCTGGGTCTTCGGCGTGACGAGCGGACGCTTCAACCAATGGGCTACCCGACCGCCCCTCCGATTTACATTAACAAAATAATATTGAATAAAATAGTTAAAAATGTAAATCCAAGTTGCACTTGACATTGCTGAAGGTGCAGCTTGACGGATCAGTTACAAAAAAAGATGTTTGATACAATTCCCTTTTTTCACTTGTACCACACGTCCCCGTGTTGTTGTTTTTTCAGGTGTACAAATGACTTGCCTTTGCATTCGGTACCACAGAATAGGAAGGATACGCTGAACTGTTTGCGAACACACGCTTCATGGTATAGTCAGAATAGGGAAACACGAAGTACTCTCTTTTTACGTCTTTTGGAATGACGCTCACATTTCCGGTCAAACCACGTCAACCACGTTGGCGGTCTCGTTTTTTTAACCACGGAAACAGAAAGAACTATTCGTGAACAATTTAACCCACATTGCAGTTTCTTCGAGGGCGTTGAGAGGAATGCTGACAGTTGCTAATGCCCCTCTATAATATTCCAGCATGGCGATCCAATCCTGCTTTCCCAACAACCGGAGTCTGATGGGGCGACACAGCGGATTGGGTGATGAGGCTCGCTTACGTGGTTCACTGCGTGCCATCATGCCTCAAAGACGTGGGGCGTTCCTCAACATCTCAGTCACGGGTTTGTCTGATCCAGACTCAACTATTTGAAAATATTGATAAGTGCAGAGCTAAACAACAAAGCCAAATCCAACTGTAATGTTAGTTAGTTGGTGTTGTAATGTACAGGGGCTGGGCCTTCGTTGGAAATGGGTTGGCTTCACATGTTGAACGCCCGTGTTCGTTTTACCACATGGGTAAAATGTGTGAAGCCCCTTCTGGTTTCCCCCGCCGCCTTCATTGGTATTGTGCGTTATAAAAAGGGGGTGGTTGGGTAACCTGGTGGTTTAAATCGTTTTCTCGTCACGCCGAAGGCCTGGGTTCGACTGCCCACATGGGTACAGTGTGTGAAGTCCAGATCTGGTCTCACTCACTCACTCACTCACTCACTCTTTCACTCACTCACTCACTCACTCACTCACTCACTCACTCACTCACTCATCCACCAACCCACCCACCCACCAACCCAACAACCCACCAACCCACCCACCCACTCACTCACTCACTCACTCACTCACTCACTCACTCACCCCTGTCGATGAATGTTATGTGCGAAAATACGACAAATCAATCAGATTGCGCGTATGACTTCAAGCACTTCGGTCAAAGAATCCCTCATGAATAATTTTTCATTTTACACGTCTTGCATTTAAGTATAAACCCAAGATACGGTTATATGTGTTCAATCATTCTGTAGAATACTGAACGTCCCTATGTGTTTTCAATAGCATCTGGATATATGGGGAAATATACATGAATCATTAGTTGACAATTCTTTTAGCTATAGCCGTTTGCGCTTCGGCTCTACCTAGTCGCAAAGTGGCCACGAGAGGTTCACGAGTCGCTATTCGCTTGTCCCGGAATTACACGAGTCGGTCACGAATGAGAGACACACAAAGAGCCACGTGATCATAACAGCTTACCCTAGATGAAGCCCAGATCCTCTTTATTTCCTTGTTTCGACCTTGAAACAAGGACATATAATGATCACAAATTACTCTTCTTCTCAATAGACCAAGTGAAAGTTGATCCACTACACACAGGGAAGGGACATTGTGAGTAATGGTTCATTAGTTGCTTTATCCTTTCAATGCAACTCAAGTTATGGAGTACGCTCACCTTCTTGCGAAAACCTGGTATTATCACTCATTGATAGTGATTCGGTATCGCACAATGGAATATCTCTAAATTACCATCTCAGTGAATTAATGCAATTTGTAGTTTACATCCTGGGGTAAGTTTGTGAATTTTAACATGTTTTTGTTTCCTGGTAACACACTGAAAATGTCTCTTGTTACATATGTTAAGAATATCATTCTTGTATTTATTCTCTCGTCATCTTGTAGGGTGAAAGTCGTGTACATCAATTGCAAATATACGTTCTAAGCCATTTTTTTAATCAAAAGGTCCATTTTACCATTTTGACTAAACTGAGGGCCAAAAGAAACGTTACCAACATTAACTGATTTGCCACTTTGAAACAAAGATGCCAACCTGTTCAAAAACAGTAAAGAACACATCTCACGAATACAGCCTTCATGTTCTCTGTCGTTCTTTGTACGTGCTTTGCGGATTTTGGGAGATTATTGGTGCTTTCAGCAATTTTTTAAAACATTCTTTCCCAAATGATCGTGCAACTTCCGGGTATAAATTACGCACGGATCTGTTTCCTATCATTGGTTGCGATGATTAACACCAACGAACATGCCAAGACTGACCGCTGTCAAGAGGGAGAAAGCCATAGGTATGCTCCAGATGGGAGCGACACAGAGAGAGGTTGCCATTAACATGAACTGCTCAAAGATGACCATTACCAGACTGGTCGCACGTCTCCGACAGACTGGCAGAACCGCAGACAGACCACGGAGTGGCAGACCAAAGGTCACGACCCCGCAGGATGACCGCTTTTTACGGGTACTTCATCTGAGGAACAGATTTCGTACTGTGACGTCATCAGCTGCCAACAGCTTAGGACATCCGGTCAGCAGACAAACAGTGACCAGACGACTACGACATTATGGTCTCGGGGCTTATCGCCCTTTCAAGGGCATGACCTTGACCCGTCAACATCGACGTGCCAGATTGACGTGGTGCAAGCAAACTCAGCGATGGCAACAAAGGGAATGGCGGCGAGTGCTGTTTAGTGACGAGAGCAGGTTCCAACTCTTCAAACCTGATGGTCGGACGCGAGTTTATCGACGACGTGGTGAACGTACAGGTCCTTGATGTGTCCAGGAGGTGGAACCTTACGGGGGCGGAAGTGTAATGGTCTGGGGCGGCATTTGCGGGGACGAGAAGACGGAACTTGTCAGCATCGAAGGCAATCTGACAGTACAACGCTACATTGACAATATCTTACGGCCAGTGGTTCTTCCTTTCATCCAGCGTCAACAACGGACGGTGTTCAAACAAGAGAACACCACACCCCATCAAGCCCGTATTAGTAGAGACATCCTCAAAGCCAACATTCGAAGATGTATTGCCGCTCATGGAGGTCATATCCCGTATTGAACGGTCTGGACCGTCGTCACCTTAAAGTTGTAACAAATGTTGTTGATCGAATACTGGACGAATGACTGCTTGTCAAGAAATGTCCCTGTTGGAGGTCAAGGACTTTGTTGTTGAATTAGTACATTCTGTTTTCATTTTACTGTTCTGAATGATGGATTTCTACAATACAATTGTTATTGCTGCTTCAAATTGTGTTGGTCATATTTTATCCTAGAAATATCGTTGGTAACGTTTCTTTTGGCCGTCAGTTTATTTTATGAGCATGTGTCTATCACTATCCATCTTTTCGTGAAACCAAGCATCGACACTATTTGATAGTGATTCACAAATACATGCTTTCAGTATATATTTTGCTAAGAAATGTTTCACTAGATATTTCATTAAAGTATAAGTGGGTTATATTGCTTTTATGCAATGCCGTCATTATTTAAAAATGATCATTCCGAACAGTTTTCGGAATACATGATGTGATTCAGTGCTTTACTACTAAAATACCATTTCAATAAATTAATGCAGTCTCTTGGATTTCCAAAATAAAATGGGTTTTACTGCTTTTATGCAGTGCTCCTGTTTTTTAATGATCATTCCAAACAGTTTTCGGAATACATGATGTGATTCAGTGCTTAACTACTAAAATACCATTTCAATAAATTAATGCAGTCTCTTGGATTTCCAAAATAAAATGGGTTTTATTGCTTTTATGCAATGCTGCAATTTTTTAATTGAACATTCAAAACAGTTTTTTGGAATATATGATGTGATTAAGTGCTTTACTACTAAAATGCCATTTCAATAAAATAATGCAGTCTCTTGGATTTCCAAAATAAAATGGGTTTTACTGCTTTTATGCAGTGCTCCTGTTTTTAAATGAACATTCCAAACAGTTTTTGGAATATATGATGTGATTCAGTGCTTTACTACTAAAATACCATTTCAATAAATTAATGCAGTCTCTTGGGCCCTGGGTTAGATTTCCTAAATCAGGTGGCGTGTGGTTTCAATCTTTGAGTTTAGCATTTGTTTGTTTCACAGTAACACACTAGAATTTTCTCTTTTTAACATATTCTTTTGTTTATTCTCTATTCATCATTAAAGGTTTATGTAGGATACTTCAATTGTAAATAAAAACATTGCATCCGACATCAATAGGTTTTCACAGACAGCACTACTGAGGCATTGGATGGTTTAAACCTGTTTAAACAACAGTAAACTTTGCTAAATCATTTATGAAAGTGTTTCAGACATTAACCTGCAATAGCTCATTCACGCTGCATGATTTTCCCGAATATTTCGTACATAAAACAATTAACGTCCGAAGACATTTTACGTTTTGACTCTATTACCCTAAGTGACCGAACTGAACATAATTTAAGTTTTTTCGGTGATACAGACTACTGTTGTGGGAAAACCCAACTGAAGCAAGTCGGAACCATATATATATGGTAACGAACCAAGAAATGTGATTCAGCAAACGTTTCATTTGTCATTGTTATGATAGTGGTGTCAATAGTTTCAGGTGAAGATCGTTTGTCTGTTGAAGATTGCATACTGGTATGGAGACATTTATCCTGTTTCACAATAAATGTGTGCTTAAGAAGGATGGAAATATATTCACAGGATACACTTTAATTCGATCTCATACAGTTTCTGTTTGTGTTCCGCAGACGATGGTTCCCCTCACGCAGATTTCTGAAAGGACGCTACTTCTTCTTCTGATGATGATTTATGAATCTGTCGGTATGTTTTTAGGTGGTATGTCTATACAAATAACAATGTAATGATTCAGCTAGTATGTTATATCTGTGTTATATCCATACACCAAATCATATACTGATTCATAGATCAACTGGCATGTTAATTTATCAGTATGAATTAAATCAATACTAATGTATTATTTTACACAATTACAATTAGTACAATTAACAATGAACATACACATCTTTATGAAGATCACATTTACGCCAAAAGGTTCGCCGGAACTCGTCTGTCCGGATGTCGGCTATCTTGGTTCTCCTGCTCATCTGACGTGCATCCCGCCAAGTAATATAACTTCACATGGCTATACAACATCGCGAAGAGAAGTCGCCGCCATCTGCAGTTTATCTAGCTCATCATGTACACCATTGGGCAACTACATGGCATCTACCATCAACCAGACACACAGTAGCCTCACCATACCCGCAGTACAACAAGCACATGCTGGGTTGTGGACGTGTATTATCCCACCTTCGTCTCCACTATCCTGCAACTTTGCTGTTGTGAGTAAGTACCCCAAGATAAGATACATGAATGTGAAGTCAACACTCGCAACTATAGACCCTATTCCATCACTCAGTGTGGATGTATGCTGTTCAACAATGGTGAACACTATCCCGTAACATGTTGCTGGTACATGTTGAAATAGCAAAATGAATGTTATTCACATGGGCGTATTGCAAGGGAATCTGTATTGTGCTATCAACATTATAAGTGTTAACAACAGCAATTTAGGTTGTACTTAGACACACGTGAACTAGTACAGAAAGAACAGTTATATTTTCCAAGCCATTGTGACATTTACAAGTTTGACGTATCAGTAACCAACAATATATTTGATGCTATTCCCTGTTTTCACAGTGTTTGTACAGGAGAACAATTGCCGTGCCTTTGTATGTATTTGTGACGGGTGTTACCGGGGAGACACGCTTACATTTTCGCGAACACCTGGCACCCTTACTATTTGATAGTGCTTCGTATACACAAGCTTATGACATAGTCCGAACCGTGCAATAGACATGGTTTCTTATGATTATGGAAAGGGATTTGCCAACTTGCCTCAACATCATATTGTCATGCCACTACATGAAGGAGTACATAGTTGACATGATGTCATATAGGAATTACTGTATGCTGAGAATTTCATTGTACTTGATGTTCTTGTCACTTCTGATACATATTGAAACTCTTCTTGTCAATGATGAAAGGAAAACATCTCATGTTGAAGGTCTTTTAGTCCGAATGTCTAACTTGCGGAGACTCTTTGTATTGCGACTTTGTGTTTCAGAACTCCCGACCTGCTTCACAACAAGTGATGTAACCACCACGACGTTCGACGTTGGCGAGGAGATGTCCCTGACAGTACATATCGAGGGGTATTACTGTTCTGAGCTGGTTCAGCTGAAGGTATCGACGGGAAGAACTGATCACGAATACCCCAGTGAAACAGTCACTGATATAACAGATAAAACAGTTAAGATCAAAATCGACAAGACCAACACCATCTTCGAGGCGGAACTGGTCTTCACCTGCGGTGGCCATAGCTCGACTCTACCTTGCCATGCGAACAGCAGTGAGTACAAGGGGAAAGAGACAGTACTAGTATTCATATGTTTAAAGCATATTTCTCAAGATAAACAACGCATGTAAAGAGTTCAGTTTCAAGTAAAGTGACTTCAATGTATGAAAAAACACTGAAATAAAACCACGTGTGCTCACTGTGTAAATCTGGGTTGTGGAGTATGCCAAGCGTTTGCCTTTATGTAAGTATTAACGTGAATACCTATGTGCACATGTGACAACGCACGTGGCCTGTTATTGTTAGTTTGGGTAAAGCAAACGCGAACCAAATTAAATGCCAGGAACCACTTGTTTCTTCAAAGTTAACATAATAAACGAAATTTAAAGTAATAATGTTTATTCTTTGATGCCATTATAGCTGTTCTTATTACTAATTCCTTTATTCATTCAATGACATTCAATGGTAAATAAATTGACTTCCCTTTAGCAGGAAAGCAGTTCGCATGATCTATGAATACCTGCAGTAAAAGAGTCAAATGTAATAGCGCTCATCGGGTCAACAGAGCACCACATTTCAACAGCGACAAATTGCATCTTAATGGGTATGGACATACGTTGTATATATAATATTTCTCCCCCCAGGGACGTCGTCAACCACACTTGACCAAAATATAACACCAGGGACGCCAAACGCCATCAACATCATTGGAGTAGCTGTAACCGTCGTCTTAGTCACCATCACCATCATCATCACCATCACCATCATCGTCACCTGTGTCTGCTTCAAAAGGAGGACCATACAGCAGAAGGTGCCACCAGTGTTGGAATGCCCCGACCCGCCGTACATGGAGTTGAAGGAACCCCTCCATAACACGTACGCCAGCGTGGAGGACCTCGAGGCACAGGGGTCTGGATCCAAGAAGGACACTTCACCACCTTGTACAGAAGCGTATGCAGACACAGGGAACTATGCAGCCGTTGGCGACACCAGTGTCCCAGACACTAAAACAAAGAAAGATGACCTGCCTGCATTAATGGACGCGGGGGGATATTCAACTGTTGCTGACAGACGTGTTGCGGACAAAGGCACACAGGGAGTTGTCACAGCTAAACCTTTAGACACGGGCTACTATGAAACTGTTGAGGACCAAAGTGCAGCAGCAGCAAGTGTTATGCAAAGAGACCTACCTCTCCTAATTGACGCTGCAGGATATTCAACTGTTGCTGTCAGACATGCTGCGGACAAAGGCAAACAGGGAGTTGACACAACTAAACCTTTCGACACAGGACTCCGACAAGGAGACCTACCTGCCCTAACTGATGCTGTGGGGTATTCAACAGTTGACGATTTCAAACCATGCCCCGGTGCCGCCTCATTCAGTCGCACGGGGGAGACTGCAAGTGTCCCGAATCAGATAGGAGAACAGAAAGCCAACAGACCTCTCTGTGAACTTTATGCAACTGTAAACAAGAAGAGGGGCACACCTAGGTTGGCCAATGCTGATGCAACTAGCACCAGTGTAATGTGAATTATACGGAAATGCTGACATTGGTTTTAGATGATTTCCATAACTTTTGGTCATCATTACGACGCAATTTAATTATGGCTAACCTGTCCATAAACTGACTGTTGGAAAAAGTAACTTAAAAAGTAACATGAACAATATGCGTTATGTAAATATATGTATCTATATAAGTGCCGTATCTTACCTGTAATAGTGAGTGAGTGAGTGAGTAAGGTTTGTCGCCGCGTTTAACAGTATTCCAGTTATTTCATGGCGTGTCAGCTTAATGTTGTAGGAAAGCCCGAATTGATGTAGGAACTTTTGCCACTTTTTATGATGCCAAACCTAGAAACATAATTGGAGCGAACCGGGATTCGAACCCAAGCGTGCCCAAGTGACGCAATTTTACACAGCGCATAGAAGACTGGGCCACCCGTGCCCCAACCTGTCATAGTGGTATGTTTTCGGTTGATCTATATTCCATCATCTGTATATACCCTGTAATTATACCTACTTGGACGTTTTATATTTGTTTATTTTCCTTTATCTTTCTTGAATGTATTTGTGTCCTTGTAATATATCTACATGTACAATTCGCTGTGGGTTTTATGTGTCAGAAACGTGTCCCAGCTCCCTGCTGGCAGTAAGATGAGATACACATGGTTGTCAGGCTAGGCAACGGTCATTCATTGCTTGTCATCGTACCCCGACGATGTGGATCGTTGCTCACAATATCAATCTGATTCAGACTCTGTATTGAAAGGCCGTCGTCATATAGATGGAATATTGTTGAGTGCTGCATTTAACAACAAACACATTTATGTATAATTTGCATATAAATATCTCCATAAATATTACATCTTATCCTTCACGTTTATCTTCTTTCTAAATATTAATAACACAATCATGCATTTTCGGTATGATGAAAGTGTGTGACTCTTGAACTGGTTCAATCTGGCAGATCTTTATCAGAAAATTACTCGTTGCGCAGTGTGTTGGGGCGATGGGATGGCCAAGTGGTCAAAGCTTTCGCTCGTCATGCCGAAGACCCGGGTTCGATTCCCTGCATTTGTACAATGTGTAAAGTCCATTTCTGGTGTCCCCCGCTGTGATATTGCTGGAATTTTGATAAAAGCGGCGTAAAACCTAACACCCTCACCGTGCGTCACTTGGGGACATTATACATATTCCTGTTAAGGAAACCTACACTTTTTAGCGTTAGTGCAAAACAGCCACATCACGGACATTTATGTATTCATGCCAGCCAACAGAGTAAGCCCAATATCACGGAGTTCAAACAGGAAAAAAACCGACTTGTGAAACCACATCCAATGAATATGTATACATTAAAATGGTCTTTATTTCAATGTTAAGTTCGTATAAAGTTTTAAACGTGACTGGAAGAAGACAGCTCACGTGGTGAAGTTTCTGTAACATCTGAAACAGCCGCCAGATGACAGAGCAACGTACCCCATCGTGCTTTTATCAGTTTCATGTGTTAATGTTTGACTTGTGGGGAGTAGTGTTTTTCATCTTGACTTTTAAGAGCTTAACCTATTTTATCTTTAGCGCTATACATTGCGTTCAAGACAACCGCGAAATACACACATCAAGTTCCGCACATCTGGATAAAAATAGTTATAAATGAAATAAATTACGTGACCAAATGGAAAATTCGACACAAGCGAGCACTCGACATACCCGAGTTCGAGACAAAGGAGTTCAAATGTATGTTCAATGGAACAAAATAGCATGAACTTTAATATCATATCAACCAGTGAAATCTTAGTGAAAATGTAAATGTTCATTTATTTGTAATCTACAACAGCCATGATATGGTTGATTAAAAAACAAATATGCACTGAATTGCCTTGTTCTGGGTCGATTGTTTACAGACTGCCGTCATTATTATCATTATTATTATTATTATTATTATTATTATTATTATTATTATTATTATTATTATTATTATTATCATCATCATCATCATCATCATCATCATCATCATCATCATCATTATTATTATTATTATTATATTAAACATTTACATACCGCAGGTATCCAGTTGCTAGTTTCTGCTCAAATGCGGTTTTATGTGTTCCCCAGTGGATCCGTTTGCATTTCAGTAATCATTCTCAACTCGCTGGGGAGTATACAAACAAATTAAAGTTTCCTACAGGCGCAAGAAGGTTTTTACATCCACCTCACATATCGGGTCCCCATTCCCTGCTGGTTGAGCAGAGGCACATTTGAACCATGGTTTGACACTTGTGTTTCGGGTGTAGGTACGTATTCGTGTTCCCCCATCTGGTCACCAGCCGCCGGACGAGTGGGTTCTTTTGAGTGCAGAGGGTGAATGTACTGTACACTAGGGGTAGTGACAACGTTGTAAAGACCTGTAAACATTGTTAGTCCCAAGGCTGAATAACAACCCATTTACTTGCGGGATGCGATATCAGCACCTGGCTCCTGCTTGCCTGGCCATTTGGTCATCTGCCCACTCCATAGCTGGAATATTGCTGAGAGCGGCGTCACGCAACAAACCCCCATCAAACGAAGGCATTCAATTAAGAGTTGACCTTCACTTTGTGTGAGTCTTTGGAGTATGAACCTTCATAGAGTGAGGGCTAAACTGTATGAACGTCGGAGCACCATAGACACAGAATCGCTATTGTAGATTGTGGTGCTATAATTAATAATAAATTAGACTTGCTACGTGTGTGAATAATTTAGTAACTAAAGCAATAACTCAATGATGTGTTTTGTCTCTTTTTAACACAAAGCTTTGTCAAGATGTGGTATAAATGACGGGTCTGTAAATAATCGAGTCTGGACCAGACAATCCAGTGATGGACATCATGAGCATCGATCCATACAAATGGGATACAAGCAAGTCAGCGAGCCTGACCACCCGGTCCATACCATACCTGCAGAGCAACACCTGTCATCCACTAGACACACAGCAGTCTTACCCTACCTGCAGTGCAACAGCTACCATCATCCAAACACAAAGTAGTCTCACCATGCCTGCAGTACTACTTCTACCATCCACCAGACACACAGTAGCCTCACCATACCTGCAGTACAACATCTACCACCAATCAGACACACAATTTAACAGTATCACCGTACCTGCAGTCCAATATCTACCATCAACCAGACACACAGTAGCCTCACCATACTTGCAGTACAACATATACCACCAATCAGACACACAACAGTATCACCGTACGTGCAGTCCAACATCAACCATCAACCAGACACACAGTAGCCTCACCATACTTGCAGTACAACATATACCACCAATGAGACACACAACAGTATCACCGTACCTGCAGTCCAACATCTACAAACAACCCGATACACAGTAGCCTCGCCATACCTGCAGTACAACACCTGCCACCAATGAGACACACAACAGTATCACCGTACCTGTAGTACAACATCTACCATCATCCAGACACACAGTAGCCTCGCCATACCTGCGGTACATCACCTGTTATCCACTAGACACACAACAGTCTCACCATACCTGCAGTACAACATTTGCCACCATCCACACACGCAGAAGTCTCGCTATGTCTGCAGTACAACACCTGCCATCCACCAGACACACATCAGTCTCAGCATACCTCCAGTACAACATCTACCATCATCCAAACACACAATAGCTTTGCCATACTTGCAGTACAACATCTACCACCAATCAGACACACAACAGTATCACCATACTTGCAGTTCAATATCTATCACCAATGAGACACACAACAGTATCACCATACCTGTAGAACAACATCTACCACCAATCAGACACACAACAGTATCACCGTACCTGCAGTACAACATCTACCACAATGAGACACTCATCTGTATCACCGTACCTGCAATATAATATCTACCAACAACCCGATACACAGTAGCCTCACCATACCTGCAGTTCAATATCTATCACCAATGAGACACACAACAGTATCACCATACCTGTAGAACAACATCTACCACCAATCAGACACACAACAGTATCACCGTACCTGCAGTACAACATCTACCACAATGAGACACTCATCTGTATCACCGTACCTGCAATATAATATCTACCAACAACCCGATACACAGTAGCCTCATCATACCTGAAGTTCAACATCTATCACCAATGAGACACACAACAGTATCACCATACCTGTAGAACAACATCTACCACCAATCAGACACACAGTAGCCTCACCATACCTGCAGTACAACATCTACCATCATCTAAACACACAGTATCCTCGCCATACCTGCGGTACAACACCTGTTATCCACTAGACACACAAAAGTCTCACTATACCTGCAGTACAACATTTGCCACCATCCAGACACACAGTAGCCTCGCCATACCTGCGGTACAACACATGTCATCCACTAGACACACATCAGTCTTACCATACCTGCAGTACAACATCTACCATCATCCAAACATACAATAGCTTTGCCATACCTGCGGTACAACACCTGGCATCCACTAGACACACAGCAGTCTTACCATACCTGCAGTACAACATTTGCCATCATCCAGACACACAACAGTCTTACCATACCTGCAGTACAACATTTGCCATCATCCAGACACACAGCAGTCTCACCATACCTGCAGTACAACATTTGCCATCATCCAGACACACAGTAGCCTCGCCATACCTGCGGTACAACACATGTCATCCACTAGACACACAGCAGTCTTACCATACCTGCAGTACAACTTCTACCAACAACCCGATACACAGTAGCCTCACCATACCTGCAGTACAACATATACCATCATCCAAACACACAGTAGCCTCGCCATACCTGCGGTACAACACCTGTTATCCACTAGACACACAGCAGTCTCACCATACCTGCAGTACAACATCTACCAACAATCAGACACACAACAATGTCGTCGTACCTGCAGTCCAACATCTACCATCAACCAGACACACAGTAGCCTCACCATACCTGCATTACAACATATACCACCAATCAGACACACAACAGTGTCGTCGTACCTGCAGTCCAACATCTACCATCAACCAGACACACAGTAGCCTCACCATACCTGCAGTACAACATCTACCATAAACCAGACACACAGTAGCTTCACCATACCTGCAGTGCAACATATACCACCAATGAGACACAGTAGCCTCACCATACCTGCAGTGCAACATATACCACCAATGAGACACAGTAGCCTCACCATACTTGCAGTTCAACATCTACCACCAATGAGACACAGTAGCCTCACAATACTTGCAGTTCAACATCTACCACACATGAGACACAACAGTCTCACCATAACTGCAGTACAACATCTACCATCAACCAGACACACAGTAGCCTCACCATACCTGCAGTACAACATCTACCACCAATCAGACACACAACAGTATCACTGTACCTGCTGTACAACATCTACCATCAACCAGATACACAGCAGACTCGCCATACCTGCAGTACAACATCTACCACCAATGAGACACACAACAGTATCACCGTACCTGCAGTACAACATCCACAATCATCCAGACCTCACCGTACCTGAAGTACAACATATACACACAGGTCACTCAAGGTCATAGATGAAATTATTTTAGTATCTCCAGAACCATTCAAAGTGTTCTGACATATTTGTTTCGTGGATTCAAAATATGTCTTATAACATGAATATCCTACCAGAGCCGTCACGTCTCTCTGTGTATGCGTATGCTCCATGTGATAGTGATGATCTAACTAACTCACTCACTCACTCACTCACCCGCCCACTCACTCTCACTCACTCACTCACTCACTCACTCACTCACTCACTCACCCACCCACCCACCCACCCACCCGCTCACTCACTCACTAACTCACTCACTCACTCACTCACTCACTCACTCACTCACTCACTCACTCACCCAAATCCACCAACCCACCCACTCAATCACTCACTCACTCACTTGCCCCTTTCCGTAACCTGCGACAAGACTCGTCCCCTGTCGATGAATGTTATGTGCGAAATTACGACAAATCAATCAGATTGCGCGTATGATTGTGCTTCGGTCAAAGAATCCCTCATGAATATTTTTTCATTTTACACGTCTTGCATTTAAGTATATACCCAAGATACGGTTATATGTGTTCAATCATTCTGTAGAATACTGAACGGCCCTATGTGTTTTCAATAGCATCTGGATATATGGGGAAATATACATGAATCATTAGTTGACAATTCTTTTAGCTATACCCGTTTGCGCTTCGGCTCTACCTAGTCGCAAAGTGGCCACGAGAGGTTCACGAGTCGCTATTCGCTTGTCCCGGAATAACACGAGTCGGTCACGAATGAGAGACACACAAAGAGCCACGTGATCATAACAGCTTACCCTAGATGAAGCCCAGATCCTCTTTATTTCCTTGTTTCGACCTTGAAACAAGGACATATAATGATCCCAAATTACTCTTCTTCTCAATAGACCAAGTGAAAGCTGATCCACTACACACAGGGAAGGGACATTGTGAGTAATGGTTCATTAGTTGTGTCAGCCTTTCAATGCAACTCAAGTTATGGAGTACGCTCACCTTCTTGCGAAAACCTGGTATTATCACTCATTGATAGTGATTCGGTATCGCACAATGGAATATCTCTAAATTACCATCTCAGTGGATTAATGCAATTTGTAGTTTACATCCTGGGGTAAGTTTGTGAATTTTAACATGTTTTTGTTTCCTGGTAACACACTGAAAATGTCTCTTGTTACATATGTTAAGAATATCATTCTTGTATTTATTCTCTCGTCATCTTGTAGGGTGAAAGTCGTGAACATCAATTGCAAATATACGTTCTAAGCCATTTCTTTAATCAAAAGGTCCATTTTACCATTTTGACTAAACTGAGGGCCAAAAGAAACGTTACCAACATTAACTGATTTGCCACTTTGAAACAAAGATGCCAACCTGTTCAAAAACAGTAAAGAACACATCTCACGAATACAGCCTTCATGTTCCCTGTCGTTCTTTGCACGTGCTTTGCGGATTTTGGGAGATTATTGGTGCTTTCAGCAATTTTTAAAAATATTCTTTCCCAAATTATCGTGCAACTTCCGGGTATAAATTACGCACGGATCTGTTCCCTATCATTGGTTGCGATGATTAACACCAACGAACATGCCACGACTGACCGCTGTCAAGAGGGAGAAAGCCATAGGTATGCTCCAGATGGGAGCGACACAGAGAGAGGTTGCCATTAACATGAACTGCTCAAAGATGACCATTACCAGACTGGTCGCACGTCTCCGACAGACTGGCAGAACCGCAGACAGACCACGGAGTGGCAGACCAAAGGTCACGACCCCGCAGGATGACCGCTTTTTACGGGTACTTCATCTGAGGAACAGATTTCGTACTGTGACGTCATCAGCTGCCAACAGCTTAGGACATCCGGTCAGCAGACAAACAGTGACCAGACGACTACGACATTATGGTCTCGGGGCTTATCGCCCTTTCAAGGGCATGACCTTGACCCGTCAACATCGACGTGCCAGATTGACGTGGTGCAAGCAAACTCAGCGATGGCAACAAAGGGAATGGCGGCGAGTGCTGTTTAGTGACGAGAGCAGGTTCCAACTCTTCAAACCTGATGGGCGGACGCGAGTTTATCGACGACGTGGTGAACGTACAGGTCCTTGATGTGTCCAGGAGGTGGAACCTTACGGGGGCGGAAGTGTGATGGTCTGGGGCGGCATTTGCGGGGACGAGAAGACGGAACTTGTCAGCATCGAAGGCAATCTGACAGTACAACGCTACATTGACAATATCTTACGGCCAGTGGTTCTTCCTTTCATCCAGCGTCAACAACGGACGGTGTTCAAACAAGAGAACGCCACACCCCATAAAGCCAGTATTAGTAGAGACATCCTCAACGCCAACATTCGAAGATGTATTGCCGCTCATGGAGGTCATATCCCGTATTGAACGGTATGGACCGTTGTCACCTTAAAGTTGTAACAAATGTTGTTGATCGAATACTGGACGAATGACTGCTTGTCAAGAAATGTCCCTGTTGGAGGTCAAGGACTTTGTTGTTGAATTAGTACATTCTGTTTTCATTTTACTGTTCTGAATGATGAATTTCTACAATACAATTGTTATTGCTGCTTCAAATTGTGTTGGTCATATTTTATCCTAGATAATATCGTTGGTAACGTTTCTTTTGGCCGTCAGTTTATTTTATGAGCATGTGTCTATCACTGTCCATCTTTTCGTGAAACCAAGCATCGACACTATTTGATAGTGATTCACAAATACATGCTTTCAGTATATATTTTGCTAAGAAATGTTTCACTAGATATTTCATTAAAATATAAGTGGGTTATATTGCTTTTATGCAATGCTGTCATTATTTAAAAATGATCATTCCAAACAGTTTTCGGAATACATGATGTGATTCAGTGCTTAACTACTAAAATACCATTTCAATAAATTAATGCAGTCTCTTGGATTTCCAAAATAAAATGGGTTTTATTGCTTTTATGCAATGCTGCTATTTTTCAAAATGAACATTCCAAACATTTTTCGGAATATATGATGTGATTCAGTGCTTTACTACTAAAATACCATTTCAATAAATTAATGCTATCTCTTGGATTTCCAAAATAAAATGGGTTTTATTGCTTTTATGCAATGCTGCTATTTTTTAATTGAACATTCAAAACAGTTTTCGGAATATATGATGTGATTAAGTGCTTTACTACTAAAATGCCATTTCAATAAAATAATGCAGTCTCTTGGATTTCCAAAATAAAATGGGTTTTACTGCTTTTATGCAGTGCTCCTGTTTTTAAATGAACATTCCAAACAGTTTTTGGAATATATGATGTGATTCAGTGCTTTACTACTAAAATACCATTTCAATAAATTAATGCAGTCTCTTGGGCCCTGGGTTAGATTTCCTAAATCAGGTGGCGTGTGGTTTCAATCTTTGAGTTTAGTATTTGTTTGTTTCACAGTAACACACTAGAATTTTCTCTTTTTAGATAAGTTAAGATTCGAATTCTTTTGTTTATTCTCTAATCATCATTAAAGGTTTATGTAGGATACTTCAATTGTAAATAAAAACATTGCATCCGACATCAATAGGTTTTCACAGACAGCACTACTGAGGCATTGGATGGTTTAAACCTGTTTAAACAACAGTAAACTTTGCTAAATCATTTATGAAAGTGTTTCAGACATTAACATGCAATAGCTCATTGACGCTGCATGATTTTCCCGAATATTTCGTACATAAAACAATTAACGTCCGAAGACATTTTACGTTTTGACTCTATTACCCTATGTGACCGAATTGAACATAATTTAAGTTTTTTCGGTGATACAGACTACTGTTGTGGGAAAACCCAACTGAAGCAAGTCGGAACCATATATATATGGTAACGAACCAAGAAATGTGATTCAGCAAACGTTTCATTTGTCATTGTTATGATAGTGGTGTCAATAGTTTCAGGTGAAGATCGTTTGTCTGTTGAAGATTGCATACTGGTATGGAGACATTTATCCCGTTTCACAATAAATGTGTGCTTAAGAAGGATGGAAATATATTCACAGGATACACTTTAATTCGATCTCAGACAGTTTCTGTCTGTGCTCCGCAGACGATGGTTCCCCTCACGCAGATTTCTGAAAGGACGCTGCTCCTTCTTCTGATGATGATTTATGAATTTGTCGGTATGTTTTTAGGTGTTATGTCTATACAAATAACAATGTAATGATTCAGCTAGTATGTTATATCTGTGTTATATCCATACACCAAATCATATACTGATTCATAGATCAACTGGCATGTTAATTTATCAGTATGAATTAAATCAATACTAATGTATTATTTTACACAATTACAATTAGTACAATTAATAATGAACATACACATCTTGATGAAGATCACATTTACGCCAAAAGGTTCGCCGGAACTCGTCTGTCCGGATGTCGGCTATCTTGGTTCTCCTGCTCATCTGACGTGCATCCCGCCAAGTAATATAACTTCACATGGCTATACAACATCGCGAAGAGAAGTCGCCGCCATCTGCAGTTTATCTAGCTCATCATGTACACCATTGGGCAACTACATGACATCTACCATCAACCAGACACACAGTAGCCTCACCATACCTACAGTACAGCAAGCACATGCTGGGCAGTGGACGTGTACTGTCCCACCTTGGTCTCCACTATCCTGCAACTTTACTGTTGTGAGTAAGTACCCCAAGATAAGATACATGAATTTGAAGTCAACTCTCGCAACTATAGACCCCATCCCATCAGTCAGTGTGGATTAATGCTGTTCAACAATGGCGAACACTATCCCGTAACATGTTGCTGGTACATGTTGAAATAGCAAAATGAATGTTTTTCATATTGGCGTATTGCAAGGGAATCTGTATTCTGCTATCAACATTATAAGTGTTAACAACAGCAATTTAGGTTGTACTTAGACACACGTGAACTAGTACAGAAAGAACAGTTATATTTTCCAAGCCATTGTGACATTTACAAGTTTGACGTATCAGTAACCAACAATATATTTGATGCTATTCCCTGTTTTCACAGTGTTTGTACAGGAGAACAATTGCCGTGCCTTTGTATGTATTTGTGACGGGTGTTACCGGGGAGGACACGCTTACATTGTCGCGAACACCTGGCATCCTTACTATGTGATAGTGCTTCGTATACAGAAGCTTGTAATATAGTCGGAACCGTGCAATAGACATGGTTTCTTATGATCATGGAAAGAGATTTGCCGACTTGCCTCAACATCATATTGTCATGCCACTACATGAAGGAGTACATAGTTGACATGATGTCATATAGGAATTACTGTATGCTGAGAATTTCATTGTACTTGATGTTCTTGTCACTTCTGATACATATTGAAACTCTTCTTGTCAATGATGAAAGGAAAACATCTCATGTTGAAGGTCCTTTAGTCTGAATGTCTAACTTGCGGAGACTCTTTGTATTGCGACTTTGTGTTTCAGAACTCCCGACCTGCTTCACAACAAGTGATGTAACCACCACGACGTTCGACGTTGGCGAGGAGATGTCCCTGACAGTACATATCGAGGGGTATTACTGTTCTGAGCTGGTTCAGCTGAAGGTATCGACGGGAAGAACTGATCACGAATACCCCAGTGAAACAGTCACTGATATAACAGATAAAACAGTTAAGATCAAAATCGACAAGACCAACACCATCTTCGAGGCGGAACTGGTCTTCACCTGCGGTGGCCATAGCTCGACTCTACCTTGCCATGCGAACAGCAGTGAGTACAAGGGGAAAGAGACAGTACTAGTATTCATATGTTTAAAGCATATTTCTCAAGATAAACAACGCATGTAAAGAGTTCAGTTTCAAGTAAAGTGACTTCAATGTATGAAAAAACACTGAAATAAAACCATGTGTGCTCACTGTGTAAATCTGGGTTGTGGAGTACGCCAAGCGTTTACCTTTATGTAAGTATTACGTGAATACCGATGTGCACATGTGACAACGCACGTGGCCTGTTGTTGTTAGTTTGGGTAACGCAAACGCGAACCAAATTAAATGCCAGGAACCACTTGTTTCTTCAAAGTTAACATAATAAACGAAAATTAAAGTAATAATGTTTATTCTTTGACGCCATTATAGCTGTTCTTATTACTTATTCCTTTATTCATTCAATGACATTCAATGGTAAATAAATTGACTTCCCTTTAGCAGGAAAGCAGTTCGCATGATCTATGAATACCTGCAGTAAAAGAGTCAAATGTAATAGCGCTCATCGGGTCAACAGAGCACCACATTTCAACAGCGACAAGTTGCATCTTCATGGGTATGGACATACGTTGTATATATAATATTTCTATACAGGGACGTCGTCAAGTACACTTCAAAATGGCGACCAAAATATAACACCAGGGACGCCAAACGCCACCGACATCATTGGAGTAGCTGTAACCGTCGTCTTAGTCACCATCACAATCATCATCATCATCATCGTCACCTATGTCTGCTTCAAAAGGAGGACCATACAGCAGAAGGTGCCACCAGTGTTGGAATGCCCCGACCCGTCGTACATGGAGTTGAAGGAACCCCTCCATAACACGTACGCCAGCGTAGAGGACCTCGGTGCACTGGGGTCGGGATCCAAGAAGGACACTTGTCCACCTTGTACAGAAGCGCCTGCAGACACAGGGAACTATGCAGCCGTTGGCGACACCAGTGTCCCAGACACTAAAACAAAGAAAGATGACCTGCCTTCATTGATGGAGGCGGGGGGATATTCAACTGTTGCTGACAGACGTGTTACGGACATAGGCACACAGGGAGATGTCACGGCTGAACTTTTAGACACAAACTACTATGAAACTGTTGAGGACCAAAGTGCAACAGCACCTAGTGTAATGCAAGGAGACGTACCTCTCCCAATTGACGCTGCAGGATATTTAACTGTTGATTACACACAAGCTGCAGAAACTAGCCCACAGAGAGAAGACACAGCTAAACTTTTAGACACGGGCTACTATGAAACAGTTGAGGACCAAAGTGCAGCAGCACTTAGTGTTGTGCAAGGAGACCTACCTCTCCCAATTGACACTGCAGGATATTTAACTGTTGCTTACAGACAAGCTGCAGAAACTGGCCCACAGAGAGAAGACACAGCTAAACCCTTAGACACGGGCTACTATGAAACAGTTGAGGACCAAAATGCAGAAGCACTTAGTGTTGTGCAAGGAGACCTACCTCTTCCAATTGATGCTGCAGGATATTCAACTGTTGCTTACACACAAGCTGCAGAAACTAGCCCACAGAGAGAAGACACAGCTAACCCTTTAGACACGGGCTACTATGAAACAGTTGAGGACCAAAGTGCAGCAGCACTTAGTGTTGTGCAAGGAGACCTACCTCTTCCAATTGATGCTGCAGGATATTCAACTGTTGCTTACACACAAGCTGCAGAAACTAGCCCACAGAGAGAAGACACAGCTAAATCTTTAGACACGGGCTACTATGAAACAGTTGAGGACCAAAGTGCAGCAGCACCTAGTATAATGCAAGGAGACCTACCTCTCCCAATTGACGCTGCAGGATATTTAACTGTTGCTTACACACAAGCTGCAGAAACTGGCCCACAGAGAGAAGACACAGCTAAACCTTTAGACACGGGCTACTATGAAACAGTTGAGGACCAAAGTGCAGCAGCACCTAGTATAATGCAAGGAGACCTACCTCTCCCAATTGACGCTGCAGGATATTTAACTGTTGCTTACACACAAGCTGCAGAAACTAGCCCACAGAGAGAAGACACAGCTAAATCTTTAGACACGGGCTACTATGAAACAGTTGAAGACCAAAGTGCAGCAGCACCTAGTGTAATGCAAGGATACCTACCTCTCCCAATTGATGCTGCAGGATATTTAACTGTTGCTGTCAGACATGCTGCGGACAAAGGCAAGCAGGGAGATGACACAGCTAAACCTTTCGACACAGGACTCTATGTAAGTGCTGATGTCAAAAGTGATGCAGAACCTAATCTCCGACAAGGAGACCTACCTGCCCTAACTGATGCTGTGGGGTATTCAACAGTTGACGATTTCAAACCATGCCCCGGTGCCGCGTCATTCAGTCACACGGGGAAGCCTGAAATCAGATAGAAGGACAGAAAACCAACAGACCTCTCTGTGAACTTTATGCAACTGTTAACAAGAAGAGGGGCACGCCTAGGTTGGCCAGTGCTGATGCAACTACCACCGGTGTTATGTGTAATATACTGAAATGCTGACATTGGTTTTAGATGATTTCCATAACTTTGGGTCATCATTAGGACGCAATTTAATTATGGCTAACCTTTCCAAAAAATTGATTGTTGGAAAAAGTAACTTAGATAGTGTATATAACAGTCAGACGTAATGAACATGAAAATATGTGTTATGTAAATATACTTATCTATATAAGTACCGTATCTTACCTGTAATAGTGAGTGAGTGAGTAAGGTTTAACGCCGAGTTTAACAGTATTCCAGTTATTTCATGGCGTATCAGCTTAATGTTGTAGGAAAGCCCGAAGTGATGCAGGGACTTTTACCACTTTTGGTGATGGCTAACCTGGAAACATAATTGGAGCGAACCCGGATTCGAACTCAAGGCGACGCAATTTTAAACTGCGCATAGAAGCGCCTTAGGCGACTGGGCCACCCGTGACCTAACCTGTCATAGTGGTATGTTTTCGGCTGATCTATATTCCTAGCATCTGTATATACCCTGTAATTATACCTACTTGGACGTATTATAGCAGGTTCATTCATTGCTTGTCATTGTAACGATGTGGATCGTTGCTCACAATATCAATCAATGGATCCAGGCTCTGTATTTAAAGGCCGTCGTCATACAAATGGAATATTGTTGAGTGCTGCATTTAACAACAAACACATTTATGTATAATATGCATATAAATATCTCCATAAATATTACATCTTATCCTTCAAGTTTATCTTCTTTCTAAATATTAATAACACATGCATTTTCGGTATGATGAAAGTGTGTGACTCTTGAATGGTCATTTTGACCAAATACTGGTTCAAGTGATATATGAAGCAGATATTTATTAGAAAGTTACTCGTTGCGCAGTGTGTTGGGGCGATGGGGTGGCCAAATGGTCAAAGCTTTCGCTCGTCATGCCTAAGACCCGGGTTCGATTCCCTGCATTTGTACAATGTGTAACGTCCATTTCGGGTGTCTCCCGCTGTGATATTGCTGGAATTTTGGTAAAAGCGGTTTAAAACCTAACACCCTCACCGTGCGTCACTTGGGGACATTATACATTTTCCTGTTAAGGAAACCTATACTTTTTAGCGCTGGTGCAAAACAGCCACATCACGGACATTTATGTATTCATGCCAGCCAACAGAGTAAGCCCAATATCACGGAGTTCAAACAGGAAAAAAACCGACTTGTGAAACCACATGCAATGAATATGTATACATTAAAATGGTCTTTATTTGAATGTTAAGTTCGTATAAAGTTTTAAACGTGACTGGAAGAAGACAGCTCACGTGGTTGAGTTTCTGTAACGTCTGAAACAGCCGCCAGATGACAGAGCAACGTACCTCATCGTGCTTTTATCAGTTTCATGTGTTAATGTTTGACACACATTGTAACTTGTGGGGAGTAGTGTTTTTCATCTTGACTTTTAAGAGCTTAACCTATTTTATCTTTAGCGCTATCCATTGCGTTCAAGACAACCGCGAAATCCACACATCAAGTTCCGACAATCCGGATAAAAATAGTTATAAATGAAGTAAATGACTTGACCAAATGGAAAATTCGACACAAGCGAGCACTCGACATACCCGAGTTCGAGACAAAGGAGTTCAAATGTATGTTCAAATGGAACAAAATAGCATGAACTTTAAAATCATATCAACCAGAGAAATCTTAGTGAAAATGTAAATGTTCATTTATTTGTAATCTACAACAGCCATGATATGGTTGAGAAAAAAACAATTATGTATACAATATTAAAAAAAAGGAACAACCAACCCATGCTTGTCTTCAGAGTCGACGAACGGGATGGGGGTGTTCAGGCTAATGGATTTGGCTGATGCATGTCATCCTATCCCTTTTGCGTAGGTCGAGGATGATGGGGACAATCACTGAATTGCCTTTTCCTGGCTCGATTGTTTACAGACTGCCGTCATTATTTATTTATTTATTTATTTATTTATTTATTTATTATTATAATTATAATAATAATTATTATTATTATCATCATCATCATCATCATCATCATCATCATCATCATCATCATCATCATTATTATTATTATTATTGTTGTTGTTGTTGTTGTTCAAATGTTGTTTTATGTGTTCCCCGACCAGTGGATCCGTTTGCATTTCAGTAATCATTCTCAACTCCCTGGGGAGTATACAAACAGATTAAAGTTGCCTACAGACGCAAGAAGGTTTTTACATCCACCTCACATATCGGGTACCCATTCCCTGCTGGGTGAGCAGAGGCACATCTGAACCTTAGGTGTATGTACGGGTTTAACGCCGCCTTTAACAGTATTCCAGTTCTATCACGGCGTGTCAGCTTAATGTGGGAGGAAAGCCCGAAGTGATGCAGGTCTCAGACGTTTACAACAAAACGATGTGAAACAGATTGGACAACCGGAATGAAAACAGTTCTGATTAATATATCTGAGTTTGAAAATATGCGACAAGGTCAGGGTGTCGTCATATATTTATTATTCAAACTTGTAACTGAAACCAGTTGACTTGTTTCCGGACACAAACATCAACTTACACACCGTGTTAAAGATTGCACTTTAATTGCACTTCAAAATCAACCTAGACACAGATTTAAAATCGCTATTGTAGATTTTGGTGTTATAATTAATAATTAATTAGATGGTTAGGTGTGTGAATAATTTAGTAATTAAGGCAATAATTTAATTATGTGTATTTGTCTCTTTTTAACACAAAGCTGTGTAAAGATGTGGTACATGTAAACGTTTGTTTGTTTGTTTGTAGTTTAACGCCGCACTCAGTGATGTTCCAGCTATATGACGGCGGTCTGTAAATAATCGAGTCTGGACCAGACAATCCAGTGATGGACAACATGAGCATCGATCCACACAATTGGTTGGTTGGTTTGTTGTTTAATGCCGCACTGAGCAATCTTCCAACTATATGACTGCGGTCTGTAAATAATCGAGTCTGGACCAGACAATCCAGTGATTGACATCACGAGCATCGATCCACGCAATTGGGATCGATGACATGCATCAACCAAGTCAGCGAGCCTGACCATCCGATCCCGTTAGTCGCCTTTTATTTAGGCATGTTCGTGTAATACTAATTGTTCAAGAGACATATTACAAGTGTAGGCCCTCGGTCCCATGAACAACCCCCATCCCCACCGTACTTCTGATCAAAGCGGCGTTAAACCTAACTTAACCACTCACTCACTACACTGTGAGCCATATGGTCATTGTTACGCCGAGAAACACATTATATACAGTTTATTATATGCCGAAAGCGCAAACGTAAAACTACTAATTGTAATAGAGGTCTATATTTATTTTATTCCGCTCCTGCTTCATATGCATAGTGTTGCTTTAGTAATCTGAACATGTCGTAGTATGCGTTTGAAATGTACAATCAGCTATTAACATGATATGAATCATCATAATAATATACAGAAAGTGACAGCTCACTTTATGTCTGTTTCAGCTTCCGTGATGGGGCACCTGATGGCTACATGTATGTTAAACAGGATAGAGTTGTGATGACTTTATTAGGAGCCATTTCGACAAATCGACACAGGATACTTCCTGGGGACCGATCTCCCTGTTGCTCACACATATCTGCTTTGTGTACTTTTTAAACCTGGCTTGCTTGACTGAAAATATCATCAATACATGATAGAGATATCAATACAATCTATGTTTTCTAAATGCGCATATACATACATACATACATACATACATACATACATACATACATACATACATACAACAAATGGCCGGGACTATAACTAAGTTCGTTTTATCGATCAGTTCGTGATAAGCGTGTTCGTTATAAGCGTGTTCGTTATTAACGTAGTTTACTGTATATTACTGTTTACACACACACACACACACACACACACACACACACACACACACACACACACACACACACACACACACACACACACACACACACACACACACACACCAGCACACACACACACACACATAACACACTGTTTGCTTTTTTATTAAAAGGGAAATAACCCCGTGTTACTTACTGGTTGACTTCACATGATACAAAGCTGATATGAAACTGGTCTCAAGGAAGCACGACGTAGACGAGGCCGCCATAATATCTCATGTCCCTACACACCTGTGGCACTCTCCTACCCAGAGTTCCATGCGGCCGGCAGCCAGCTAGCATAGTACCTCTGCCACAGGCCAGCGCCATGTGACGATTCGTCACATCTTTCACAGTCCATTCAAGATATTGCATATGCTTTTCATCCGTTTCATGTTTGACAAGTCTACACATTTTCATAAACAAATGTCAAAGAATGGTTAACTTTCATTGAGAAAGTATGCAATTACGTAAAAATCTACTTGTTTTTGCGTAGTTATCCTATGTTTACATTGGTTGTACGGCTCCACGTGCTGTCATCGAAGCCCAACGGAGAGCTAGCGACACGGTCACTTTGATGCATAAATATATATTGTCATGCAACTCACTGTCGCAGTTGTAGTAGCATATCTATATAATTATGCAAAACAATATGTAAAGCGCCCCCAAATACTTGCATTAGTCCGTTCTATACTGTTTTCTGAAAAAGCGCGTTTGTTTACAAACAAGAGAAAAGGCCGGTCACGTGATATGCAAATTAGCCTGTGGCAGTGGTGTTATGCTGAGTCACCACTGCGACGGAGTGTGCACCTGTGGGTGAGAAACCCATTTCAGATAACTGGTTGAGATCGAATTCCAAACCTGTGATTGGTTACTCCATGATGATGACCTGAGGTCATATTGTGACGGACTACTTTCCTGATCGTAAGCCATTGATAAGTTACACGTGCTCCAGTCGAATGTTCACCTTCGTGTGTCTTGAACGTTATGGTTTTAGAGCCCCACCCCTAGATGCCACAACGACAAATTTGTCAATCCCCCTCATCTGTTCAAAGTCGAGTAAGATTCAAAATATATCGCGCACATTAATACACTTCAAAGTTTTAAAATATTCTGAGATAACATCCTCTGTCATATGAGACAAAGCAAATTCTCGACATTTGTGATACATAATTATAATCACCATTCACAGCCTTATTTAATATGTGTTTAGAATATCGGATATTTACTCGAAGAACTGAATTTCAAAAACAGCATTTTAGTGATCACATGTATCTGTTTTTCTTCAAATCACAAATGACAATTTGGAAACGCCAAGAATCGTTTAGAATGTTTTGGAAATACGCAAACACAAATGCCGAAGTGAACTTTCCGTCATATTGGATAGTGTTTACAAAATCACGTTTCACGCCTGCCGGTTAGGAG